CCTGATGGCAAGAGTTTAAAGGCACTGAGCGCCCCCTGTGGGCGGCACCCTCACCTCTGGCAGGACGGCCTCCTCGTACTCTGAGCGGGAAGGTTCTGGAGGATTAGCAGTCCTAGGGCCAGGGCCAGGCCGGGAGAGGAGTGAGGCCGCGCGGGGAGAGATGAGAGCCGCCGCCGGAGCCGAAGGTATGTGCCGGGAGCCGGTCGGGGAGGCGCCGAGAAGGCGGCCGTCCTGCTCTCCGCGAGGTGAGGACGGGCTGAGGGAGGCAGACAGGGACGGAGGCCGCCACGTTTGGAAGGCGGACACGTGTAGCCTGTTATGAGAAAGCAGCCTCACAGCCGGATAGTCCCAGGCCCGCGGGAAACACGGGACATGACTTCTCCTGGCGGCCTGCCTCACGGGCTGGACGGGTGGCCGTGGTGCCTTCTCTGACCGCTGCTGTCCTTGTCCGCACCAGCCCCGCCCAAGCTTCCCTTCAGCCTTCTGCCATCCCGCCCTGAGTTCTGGCCAGTGTGAGGGACAGGGCGACCCTTCTGGAGGAGGCCCCGGGTGCTCAGGGCCTTCGAAGGGCTGTCCGCGAGTGGCCGACAGAGCTCTGTCCTGCCGAGGCTGATGCCCCTCCTGGCTTCACTCTGACGCCTTCTCATGCTAGCCAGTCTCTGTCCGATCAACGGCATGCACCCCCAGTAGATTCTAATCCCCGTGAAAGCAGGAGCATCTCCAGGACCATGACAGCATCTCCAGCCCCCAGCAAAGCGTTGGGTAGGCAGTAGGCATTCAGCAAATTGATTGGTTGGATGGATGAATGAATGCATGGAAGAATGAATGAATGGTGTATTGGAGGCATGGCATTTTCTGGGCTGAGTCAGGGAGCACTCCTCTCAGGAAAAACCAGGCCCTTCAGCTGGGGCAAGCCCCCTCAGGCTCCCTGGGGACAGGCTTCCTCAGAGGCTCTGCAGTGTGCCCTGCCGAGGGCATCACTCACCGTTCCTTCCTTCTCCATAAAGTTCTTTGCACAGCATCCTTCCCCTTGTCCTCCCCGCCTCCTGCTTCAGAGAAACTCCTTGTTCTGTGCATTCGACACGTTGTGATTGTCTGGAAATATCACAGAGTTGTTCATTTCTTAAAGCTGCCTTCCTGTAGTGAGGCCTCGTTTGTTCCCTTCTAATCCCGTGGTGTGCTGGGCCGCCTCTCTTGTTTTGGAGGTTGTGTTGGTAATTTCGGGGTGAGGAGAGAAGGACAAGTTGACCCCAGGATGCAAGTCTAGACCCGCTCAGACAGGTGAGGTCAAGAATCGGAGCTGCCCAAGGCCTGCCCAGCAAGGCTGAGGATTATTGAATTATTATTGAGCCCAACCAGACTCCAGGGCTGCACAGATCCCCGAGTTAGACATGGTGCCTGCCTTCTCCATGGTAACAAGGCTAAATATGGACGCGTTTCCATGGAGAGCCATATCGCAGCTGCAGCCCTGCTTCCTCCAGGAAGCACCAGCGCTGGGCTTCTTTGGCTTCTCAGGAGGTGGCCAGTGGTGCCGCGGACATCAGGAAAGTATATCTCACCTTTGAGGATGTTTGTTTCCAACGAGGGCTCCATTTCCCCGGCCCTAGATTCGTCAACATCTGTTCCTCTTGACAGCTAGAAGTTAGGAGAGAGAGGTCACGGGTCAGACAGACGGAATGGGGACAGTGACGCTGGACCCAATGAGCGTTCGTGCAAGTTATCCTGTCTTCACTCCTCGGAGTGGCTTTTCCTATAACTGGAGGAAAGGGGGTGTCACTGGTTGGAGGGAGACAACTGTAATGAGCCTCGTATAAATACACTGCTGTTCCTCTCATCACGCCTCTTTTGGAAGAATTATTGCTGCTACAAAGAGTTTTTTAAATGCTTTCCATAACTGGGATGGGCCCCTTCCAATTTCATACAATAATCTAACGTGACAGGGTTCTAATTTTTTTTCTTAAAGGAAAGTAAGTCTTTGCTGCATATTTGAATTTGATCAAGTCCAATCCCCGCATATCTTAACTGTCCGATAGAACAATGTGGAATGAAACTTGGTGTTTGTCGCAGGCTAAACATATAAGCTGAGTGAGTATTCGGCTTCACAATACTCTGTTTAACCTCGCTTGGCTATTTAGTCATTACATCATCTGTGTTTATAGTTTAATCGTCTGTTAAATTGGGGCTGTCCACGCGCAGCTGATCGTATGGGTGTGTTCGTATATGTTCGGAAATATCTGTAACATGTACGTATCCACAGAGAGATGGGTGTGCTCCCCGGTTAACTAAGATGTGGAAACTTTTAAAAGATGTAGAGAGAGCTCTCAAGGCAATTATAAATAGTCTCGGAAGGAAGATTCATATGGTGTGTTCTGTGTTGCAGGCCGAGTGGCATCAGAGCTGAGTGATGGACGATCTGCAGTCCCAGAACCTCCCCATGGACATGACCGACTCCTCCCCTGCCTTGGCCAATAACAGACTGGAGAACGGCATGGCCCAGCTGATCACCACTGAGGCCTGGAACATCAACTCCACCGACCTGGTAAAGAAGGCCCTGGTGACCGTGCCGGCCCCGTCCATTCTGAACCCCCCGGCTGAGTCCCAGAGCGGCGTGGCTCTGAAGGTAGCGGCCACTGTGCTTCAGCCCCTGTGCCTCGGGGAGAGCCCGGTGGTGATGCCCATTCACATGCAGGTGGAGGGCAGCCCCGCGCCTGAGCTCAACCCTAACGGCAACGCCACTTACGTCATGACCACACAGGGCCCCGTGCAGCTGCCGGTGGTGCTGGAGCAGCACGTCTTCCAGCACCTCAACTCCCCTCTGGTCCTGCCACAGGAGGCCCCGTGCTCCTCCAGCGCCATCCACAGCAACCTCTTCCAGGGAGCCGAGGACCCCGAGGCCCAGCCCCAGCTCCTGGACCTCAGGATCCCCAGCCAGCCGCAGGAGCCCACGTTGCCCTTCGAAGCCGTGCTCCAGAATTTGTTTCCTTCGCAGGGTGCTCTCGGCCCTCCACCCTGTCAGCCTCCGCCGGGATACGCCCCTGTGCCCCCCCAGCCCTTTAACTCCCCCTTGTCCCCCCTGGTCCCGCCGGCCACCCTCTTGGTTCCCTACCCTGTGATCGTCCCCTTGCCTGTGCCGGTCCCCATTCCCATCCCCATCCCCGTGCCTCAGAGTTCTGAATCCAAGTTCAGCCCCAGCTTCCGAAAGCCGCCATCTTCCTTCGGCCTACACCCCTTTAAAGGCACCCAGACCCCTCTCCAGAAGGAGGAACTGAAGCCCTTCGACCTCCTCCCGTCAAGGGAGTACTTCCAGCTCGGCCGCCACACCGTCATCAAGATGGGGAGTGAGAACGAGGCCCTGGATCTCTCCATGAAGTCGGTGCCCTGGCTCAAGGCTGGCGAAGTCAGTCCCCCGATGTGCCAGGAAGATGCAGCCCTAGACCTGTCACTGGCAGCCCACCGGAAATCTGAGCCCCCCCCTGAGACATTGTATGACAGCAGCGGGTCAGCGGACAGCCCAGGTCACACTGTGATGGAGAAACTTCCCAGTGGCACGGAAGTGCCCTTTGCCCCCGCCACGCCCCACGAGGCCTCAGCCGTGCTGGATAGTCACATGGGCAGCGGCGTCGCCACCGAGCCGCCCAGCCAGCCCAGCAGTGAGGTCAAGGCTGAAAATAACACTGAGATTGTGAGCGAGTCCCAGGCGGCCAAGGTGATCGTCTCCGTGGAAGACACTGTGCCTACCATCTTCTGTGGCAAGATCAAAGGCCTCTCGGGGGTGTCCACCAAAAACTTCTCCTTCAGAAGAGAAGACTCCATGCTTCAGGGCTATGACATCAACAGCCCAGGGGAAGAGTCCATGGGAAACACGGAGCCCCTTAGGAAACCCGTCAAAAACCGGAGCATAAAGTTAAAGAAAGTGAACTCCCAGGAAATACACATGCTCCCAATCAAAAAACAACGGCTGGCCACCTTTTTTCCAAGGAAGTAAATAATGGCATTTTAAAATTTTTATGATTATAATATGGGGAAAGGTGCATTGGTTTTATAAAAAGGCATTTAAAACAAATTATCTTTGTTAATTATTTTGGGGAGTAGCTGGGAAGCGGGAAGGCAAATTGGCTCTAAAGCAAGTTTCATTTTCTTTTTTAATTTTTGACTTTTCACAAATGAGTAAATAAGAGCAACCTATTTTTCAAGCAGATTGCACATTTTTTGCAGCTTTAATGGAATATTGGGTGAATCAGAGGGGTAAAAAAAAGCTATTTTCATTGCCACAAAGTGCTTTGATGATGTAATACCTAATAAAGGGTAGGATGAATATTTCACAATAAATGTTTGTTTGCACTAACTGGTTGCAGTATTCTATCATTTATAAAATCTGCCTTCCTGAACTGGCAGCGTTTGGCCAAAACTGTCGCTTGTGAAGCACGGCAAGCTATCCGTGTTTAGAGACCGAAGCTCTTCGGGCATATTGGGCAAAGAAGAATCATATTGGCCTATGTCCTCAGAGAAGGAGGATTAGGGGCAGGACAGGAATAAAGATGCAGACGTAGAGAACGGACTTGAGGACACGGGGAGGGGGAAGGGTAAGCTGGGACGAAGTGAGAGAGTGGCATGGACATATATACACTACCAAATGTAAAATAGCTAGCTAGTGGGAAGCAGCCGCATAGCACAGGGAGATCAGCTCTGGCGCTTTGTGTCCGTCCACCTAGAAGGGTGGGAGAGGGTGGGTGGGAGGGAGGCGCAAAAGGGAGGGGATATGGGGATGTATGTATATGTATAGCTGATTCACTTTGTTATATACAGCAGCAACTAACACACCATTGTAAAGCAATTATACTCCAATAAAGATGTTTTTTAAAAAAAAAAAAAAGGAAAGGAGTAGGAATATGTATGACCTTGAGCAAGTCATTTCCCCTCTGGCCCCTTTCTTCATTTGTAGAAATGTGGCAAAGGCAGGGGGTGGGGAGGTGAGTTTCAAGTACCCAATCCCCCCTCTAATTCACAGAGACCCTGGATGTGCAGAATTCTGTCTGAAACCTTCCATAGACTAAAACAGACAGATGTCTCTAAAGGGAAATTTACCTGCTTCTTTTCCTCCCTCCTCCCTCCTCCCAAAATGTAGCTGAAAGGACTTTCTCTTCAAGGGTAGTAGGAGCACTGTCCTGAATGACTAATAGTCTTGCAAGTCAAAAGTATTACCGAAGGCCACTCAGAACAAGAGGGCAGTCCAGTGGATTAGGAGGTGTCTCACGCAAGTTCCCGGCCCTGGGTAGAGATGTTTGGGAGTGGGGTCGAGGAGGGAAGAGAAAGCCATTCCTTATTAGTTTATCTCAGTGATTCCCAGCCGGCGGTGATCATGCCCTCCAGGGAACATCTGACAATGCCTGGAGACGCTTTTGGCTGCCATGGCTTGGGGAGGGGGGTGCTCCTGGCACCTGGTGGGCAGAGCCCGGGATGCTGCTAAGCATCCCACAGTGCACAGGGCAGCCCCCAGGGCAGAGAGTGATCCAATCCCCATGTCCACAGCACTGAGGCTGAGAACCCGCCGTTAAACCATCTCTCGATGGACAGAAGCGATGCACCTGGAAGGAGCCATCCACACCAACGAGGAACTGTGAGTGCACGTTTAAAATAGACCTGCCAGGCGGCACAGCACACTTGGGTCTGAAATTGTGCTGGCGAGAGACTGATTACAGCATGCCTGCTTTTAAACTTCAGCCTCTTTCTTTCACTTCTTGCAGTTAGTATGTATCCAGCTGTTACCATGAACACGAACAGGAGGGAAAGCAGTTGCGAGTCTGTTCTTTTACTACCAGGCCCTCCGTGTATAGGGTTACAGTTTTAGCTGGTCCTCTACCGTACCCCTATAACGGATTTTCTTTTTCCTGCTCTTTGCCTGTGTTGTTAAAATTTGTCTTCCAAGGTGCGACACGATGAGAAATAACCAAATAGTTGTTTCTCGTGAGGCTAACTAGTCCCATTCTCTTACACCAGCCAGACTCCATCCTTTAAGCTTCTGCATGGGGCCATCTTTTCCAGTTTTACTCCCATTGTGGGTTTCTGGCCATGTTTCCCGAGCATGGCGTGTGTACTCCAGTTTCATATACAACCAACACAGATGTGCCTAGGCACTAGCATTTCCCATTCACCTGCTGTCCTTTTCTCACCATGTTTGTGGTTGTTTCTGTTGCCCCTGCAGCGCTAGGCGGCCTTTATGCACCAGCCAGCAGGGCCCCTGTCTTCACAATGTACTGGGAAAAGCTGCGCTTATCTGTCTTTGAGGAAACAGAATTCTCAATTTGCCCTTTAGAAGCAAGTGTTTAAAGCTGACTGAGTGACATCTAGGTGGAAAGGAAGGCATCTGTAACCTGTAATCACGTTATAAACATGAGGCTGCGAATTCCTCTTTGTTGTATCTGGAGTTGCCCTTTTCTCTTCAGATGTCAGCTCTGGTTGGGTGAGAAATGCTGGCTCCACTGCCAACCGTGGGTGTTGAGCCAGCGTGGGCCAGCCCCCAGCCCTGGAACAGGCCTCTGCTCCCACCCCAGCCATGCCCATCCATGGGCCTTGCCAGTCATTACTGGGGTCTTTGGAGAGAGGCCTTTGTGGTGGGGATTGGCTGTCGAGTTGGGACACTTGCCCAATGAGATCCGTGAACCCTAGAGACAAGAGTGTTGTGTTGGGACCAGGGTTGTGCTACCGGGGCAGTGAACACCCTCTGCCTGCCGCCCTCTCAGCCTTTGGTGGAAACCAGAATCTACTTTGCTAGGGAATCAAGAGAAGGGCGAAGGGCCTACTGTTGCACCAGAGTGAGCCTAGGGTTCATCCCTGGTGGCTCAATTCCACTATCCCTTCCTAGTCAGAAGTTTGCAGCCTTCCACACAAACCTTAAGTAAGAACCATCATCCTGGACCCATGCTTCGTGGTCTGAGACATGTGATTCCCACAGGGCGCATAGAGGAGGCCACTGGCAAACTCAGGCCCCATCACGGTTCTGCTTGATTCGGCCAGCTACGGTCACTCTTAGCGCCCCACGCCTCACAACCGTCTCCAGCTAACCTACTTTCAGGTTTCAGCCATGCGGGATTTCCATCAGGGTTTTTCTCATGACTTAATTTCCCAACTCTTCTCAAAAAAATGTTTTGGCCAAACTAGCCTAAAGAACAGCTTTTCAGGGTCTTTCAGGAAATATGATTAGTCCCCAGGAATGTTGACATTTGCTCAGACTTGTCAAGATGGCTTCAGTTGGCTTCAGTTCAGAAATGAAAAAAAATTGGAACAAGTTACTAACATTCATATTTGGGGGTAGTGATCCTCCTGGTAAAGCAAAAACTAGTTGATCTAGAGGGAAAAAAAAGAAAGATTTAAAGAGGATACAGTTACTATCCTAACCAAGGAAGTCCTTGACAGTGAGTAGAGAATTCTAAAGTGAGGTCAAACATTTGTTTAGATTCAAAGGCAAAACTCTTACGCTTTAAGCATGAAAAAAATATGTCTGCAATGGTAAAAACTCCCAACTCCAAAAGAAGGAAGGGAGGAAGGTTGCCGATTACTGAGAGAGTATATGTCAGTTTAGTCATTATCTTTTTAAATAGCCTAATTAATAAAGCAGGAAAGGATTTCGATTTCATTTTACAAGTGAGAAAATTGAGGCTCAGAAGGGTTTTCTGCTTTCAGTTGTTAAGCATCACCGACTGAAAAGTACGTACTTTGCAATGATTCTTAAATATTGGGTTTGAAGCCCGATGAACCCACAGGAATTTGGATCCTTTGGGGGCAAAAACCAGTATGAATTAATGGAGAGTCTGAATTACAGATTTTTTTTTTCAATTATTTTCAAGACCATTCCAGTTAACTGGAACGCCCAGAGCACTTGGCACAATGGTAAAGGGGAGATTTCAAGCTGAAGGGTGCGGATGCCAAGCCTCTAAAGGCCACACTCAAAAGCTGCTAAGCTGAAAACTTTAAAAGCAGGGGGGGAAAGCGTTAGAGGTCATTCTGGCCGACTTTACTCCTCATTAAATAGAAAAGGCAATTTTCCAGAACAGCCCCACTACCTACCACCAGGTCAAATCACTGACCTCCCACATCAGTGAAACAAAATAGGGTGTATTTGAGGTCTTCAGGGTGCCGTTTTAATAAATTGAGATTTTATTTTAATTACCATGTCGGGTATTCTATGGTAAGTAGTATGTGTGAGTACTTGAAAGAACTAGTTCCAGAATATTGCAAAGAATCCATGTGCAACTAGGCCAGGGCATTCTTCAGCAAAGTGAGATTTTAGCTGTGCTCTGCCAAAATTACGGACAAGTTCAAGTCAAAGGGGATGAACTGTTGAGGTTTGTTATATTAACGCAACTTGTAGCTTATTTTCCATCCAGCTGTATTCTGTATAGACACTCAGAAGCATAGGCTCGTGCTGCTGGTAACGATGGTAGAGGCCACCTGGATCCTGTCCTCCCTCCGCGAAAGCGGTTTTTAAAACCTAAGCTTTGATAACCCAGTCAACTGGTAAGAATGCGATGAGCCCCTTTACATTGATAGTACCATGCTGTCAGTCCCAAATGGTGTCAGGAATTCAGTTTTATTTATAACTCTTCAAATAAGGAACTTGAGTTTCCTCAATGCAGAAATTTTCATTAGGACCCATTTCAAGCCATATTAAGAAGCACCACAGCGAACAGACCAAATTCTTTGCAAGCAGGGACTGAAGCTTATGTATCTCAAGGTTTCTCCACCTCGGCACTATTGGCATCTGAGACTGGATGGTTCTCTGTCGTGAGGCTGTCCTGCTTGTTTACAGCACCTCTGGTCTCTAGCCACGAGCTACCCATATCACCCCTCCCACTGCCCCAACTGTGACAACACCAACGTCTGCAGACATTGGCACGAGTACCCTGGGGGCAAAGTCGCCCCTGGCTGAGAACCACTCTCTACTTTATTTCTAGGATCTGTCTAACGCCTGGCCCACAGCAGGAGCTCAAAAATGCTTTGAAGAATGAATTGAATCAGGAAACAAGCAGAAAGAGAGATCTGTAGCTCTGATCTCTGGGGCCCTGCTCATATTTTCCGGTTGACTACCTCAGGGCTGATCTGACCAGGAAACTGTTATTGGGAACTCCCATTCATCCATCCGAAGGGCCAGCATGTAACACGGTCCTCTGGAAGCTTCTCCCTAGTCAACGGGGTTCAGCAAGACTGCTCCCTGTCACAAAAAGGGCAGGCACTCCCTCAGCCAGTTCTGAAGGGATGCCTCATTACTTTACCAACACCATGAAACTGGAAGGACCCCATGATGGCTGTTCCTCAGTCTTGTTTCCAAGGGCAGCATAACCCAGGAAT